CCTGAGGAAGGTGTTCGTGTTCTCGAACAGAAACTAGGAGAAGCAGAGAGGGGCAAGTGCCCTGGGAACATGCACCATGAAGTCTTTTGGAACAGCAGTTGTTTTAAAATGTTACAGGAAAAACATGGTACTGTTCTTTGTTTAATATGCAGTCTTTATCGTGAGTCAGGTACACTGAGATCTCAGATGGAGTAGTTTATAGACAAAACACTATGTTGTTTTCATTTTTCTGTTTTAGGATGTTATCTCAGGCTTAGATGTTTACATAGTACCTTTGACTGACAGGAGTCTTGTGAGCCTCTTCTGAGAGAGGGACCTAGGCCTGTGCAGGTGAGATGGAGACAGAAAGCTGAAATGTGCAAGGTATAACTGGAATTTTAATGCTAACTGCTGTACAATTAAATTTACCTCCAGAGAACTTACCAGGTTAGTAAGCTTCTTTGGGGATGGGTAATTCGCACATTCATATATGAAAGGACAAAAGCTTATGAATGAAATGCAGGTGTGGCTGAAGACCTAACAGTCTGTCTACACAGAGTAACTGAGAGGCTCTTTTAATGGACCCGTTAACAACAGGAGAGGAGTTTTGCTCACTGTTCTGTGGTTGTTACGTAGTCTTGCTGCCACACTCCCCTTTCTCTTTTATGCTGGTTCACATAGGCAGTGGGAATTCTTCCCTGCTTTTACTTTAAATCTTTACCTTGGAACCAAAGTATGATTTTTGTTTGGGTGATTTTGTGTTGATCTGGTCAGCTCGGGAAAAATTTTGACAAACGTTAGAGTAGGACAAGAATGTGGGATTAAAAAGCGGGAAGGGAAGAAGCGAGCGTGTAAAACTGGGACATCCTGTCTTGTGAACCATAACTTCAGTGTGATTTACCCCAAAAAGGTAAAAAGGGACTTAGGCTAATCAAATAGGTTCATGGGAACACACTTCTTAAGAGCAAGGGACTCTTCAGTCAAGGCTTTCTGAGATCTGTTTTACCTAGGAAATCTGTGTTCAGATTTAATTTAAATTCCTGCCACTTTTGCTGTTGAGAGCATTTCCTTACCATGCCAATAGAGTCAGAAAAAAAGGGTTTTCTATTTTTGTGTGAAAATTGAACATACCCTCCTGCTATCAAAAGGTGCAGGTTGTTAATCCAGACTGTAGTGAATTTTGTGACTAGTAACGTGCAGTATATATCCAGGTACTTGGTAATAGAGGACTTCTGCCATCTCAAAAACAAGTCTTTCCCCAGAGTAGTGAGCACTGGTTTTGTGGGGTTTTTGGGGCTTTTTTTTGGGTGGTGGGGTGTGGTTTTTTGGGTTTTTTTAATTTTACGCTTAGAACCATTTTGGAGTAAAAAGTGAAAATTCACCTGTCCTAAGTTCGCAGCTCTGAAGTTTTAAAACAAATGCCAGCAGATAAATGAGTGTAGTATAAATCTGGGAGTGAAGGGAGCATTTAAACAGGCATTTAAAACAGCTTGGGGAGCCTGGACACTGGCCTGTGACTGCGTTGTACTCTTAGTGTGCTGAAAATGAAGAAATGTGGCTGAAGGCAGCAAGAATCATGGAATGGTTTGGGTTGGAAGGGTCCTTAAAGATCCTCTGGTTCCAACCCTCCTGCCATGGGCAGGGATGCCTTCCACTAGACCAGGTTGCTCCAAGCCTCATCCAGCCTGGCCTTGAACACCTCCAGGGATGGGGCATCCACAGCTTCTCTGGGAAACCTGTCCCAGTGCCTCACCACCCTCTCCAGGCAGAATTTCTTCCCGATATCCAGTCTAAAACTCCCCACTTTCAATTTAAACCCGTTACCCCTTGTCCTGTCACTACAGGCCCTTGTAAAAAGTCCCCCCCACCCTCCCTGTAGCCCCTTCAGGCACTGGAAGGTGCTATAAGGTCTCCCCGGAGCCTTCTCTTCTCCAGGCTGAACACCCCAACTCTCTCAGCCTGTCCCCATAGCAGAGGGGCTCCAGCAAACTTCATTTGAATGAAGTTCCATTTTATTTCTTACCCTTTGGTCAGACATTTCTTACTCCATCTCTGAATCTTGAGGGAACTGCAACTTGTCTTTTCCGTCTCATAACTGTGTATTTCGAAGCCATCCAACCTTTTGTTTCAGTGTACAACATTGTATAAATGCTATTGGTGAACATCTCAGATGATACATCCCTGAAAAATATGGACTTCCACTTTTGATTCTTTTACCCTGAAAAATAGTCAAGAAACTGTACAGTTGGAAGATCTTGAAATGTAGTCAATTTTTTTCTTAAAAGAAATTTTAAGTGACTTTGAATCTCTGTTCTAATTCTATGAGTCTCGGAATACCTTTTTTACTTTCTTATTTTAGTGTCTTTATTTCCCTTTGCTCTTGTATGGAAGTACCCCCTGACATGCAAATAGAGTGTTTGGTAAGGTAGAAGTTGAAATGGTGTGTATCCACAGTGGTATTCCACCCAGCAATCTAAAAAAAAACCTTAAATACACGTTTTTGTTTCTTTGGGTCTCCAGTAACAGTAATCATTAAAAGTTACAAAAAGCTTTATTGTAGAAGTTACATGTAACAAGAGTAGTCTGATTTTTTTTTTTTTCCATAGAAAAGTGCAGTACTTAATTTGTAAATACTCCTGTAAAGGAAAAGGTCAAGATTTAAAGTTATTTGACTTCAAATAGTAGAAGACCATATTCAGCCTCAGACAATGCAACTCCTTCCACAGGAATAGAAAGTTTCATATGTATCCTCATTGAGGGTTGACAATGAATTTCAAACGAGAAATGTGAAATTCTTTTTTCTTCTGTAACATATAATTAACTTTAACTTGTAAAAGCAAAGATTTTTTTTTTTTTTCCCCAGAAAAATAGCATAGGCTATTAAACACCTGCTCCTTATAAATGCTGAGTTAAGATCACTGTGGTACCCCAAATTATCACCTAAGGAGTGAATGGCTTCACAACGTCTCTATTTCCTCCTTTGAAAACAAACCCTTGCCTCTTGAAATCTGTCACAGCTGATGGTAAAGCACGTGTGAGTTAATGTGCGTGTCTGGTGTACAGTTGTGAAGGCACCTCCGCGGAAGAGCAGGTGAAGGAAGCAAGTGTTTCCACCCCATCCTGGAATGGACTTTTTGCTCATGGTGCTGTGGCTACCCAACAAAAATACGCTGTGATCCCGTGGAGAGTTGGTGGCATCTAGTGGGACGTGTAAGGTGATGTCCGGTTGTATCCGAAGTCTGTGCTGACTCTTGGCTTCTCAGAGACTGGAATCCAAGCGTGGATTTGAGCGAGAAGCATGAGAAGCATGTCCAGGGTAGATACAGGTGCATGGATATAACCTGACGTCGTCTTGCATTATTCGTAGGAAAACCTCAAGTTCATGGGCTTCAGTTCAGCAGCTTCCTTAAACGGGGTATCCAAAACTGGGCAATATTAATCCCCCACAATAACCATACATTAAAAGCAGCAAGTAAAAAAACCCTAAATTTAGAATTTTATGTGCTTGAACATATTTTGCTGCTGTTAAACATCACAATGGTGTCAGTGTGGTTGCAAAGTGTTTAAAATGACAAAACAGAGATTCCAGAGATTGATTAATGAGGCTGGTGGGGATTTAACATTAACTATGTGCCAAATTGGTTTTATGCTCCCTATACAACCAGTTAAAGAACTGGGCTCTTACGCTGGCGATGCAAAATAAACTTACATTCAGGACTCTGAAACGAATTCTCCCCTCCCCTTTCCTGTAAAACAGGAGCACATGAGAGTGGAGTGCGTGGGCCTGATGTCCTCAGCTCAAGGTCTAATTTAAATGCCTAAAATTAGGCAGTTGTATGTATCGTGTTGTTGCACTGCTGGGATCAGGAATAATAATAGCATTCCATTAAGATTGCTACATCCAGAATTAGTTTTATTTCTCTCCCCAACACTCCCGCCCCAAGTGGGAAGGGATGTTGAGATATATATATATATATATTCCATTTAAATAAAGGAAAGACGTAGGACTAAAGTTGCTGTCCATCTCTCAGGAAAATACTGGAATTCTGTCGTCAGATAAAGGTAACAGCACACTGAATTTTTTATCTTCAGCGTATTCCTTTCTTCTTCCCCAGTCCCAATTAGTCACAGAAATATCTTAACTGTTTTCCTCTTGTGTTCCAATTCAACGTGTTCCATTTATGACAAACATATTTTAGGAATCGGATATGCTTAGAAATCTGAGATGGGAAAAATCCATGTCAGAACTCATACAGTCTTCTAATATATAGGGAGTGGCATTATGGTCTATAGTCTTCTAATATATAGGGAGTGGCACTGAGACCTGGGGTATTCAAGATCTCTTGAGCAGCAGTTAAACTGATAAAGATGATGGCTTGAAGCAATGCTTGGGTCTGCCTGTATGAGGGAAAGAAAAGTGGGAGAGGAGTGGAATATATCTATGTATTCCATAGGATATAGAGATCAGTCTACTTGCAAAATAAGGATCAAAGCTGGGAATTGATTTTTCTAGCTCAAAAGGTCTACCCATCTTTATTTTTGAATTTAAAGAGGTCCAAGTCATGCTAAATTCTCATCCCTGTTGTAAATTGAGACCTTTGGAGCATACAGCACTCCAGGAAGGTGCGTCTTCCTTATGCATGGCTGTTTTGTACTTTTTTCTGCATTAGTGAAGTCATGCAAAGCAAAGTCTATGCAGTGACCAAATGCAAGGGTTTCAGGTTATAAAACAATTAGCATGTCCTGTGTAAAGACCACAGAACTCTTCTGTAGTGCAAAGAGAAGACAGAAGAGCAATAGCCACTGTTTTTTTAAAGGGTTTATCTTGCACAGAAGCAGTGATACCAAGTGCCTCTTCACTTGCGTGCTCTACAGGTTAAACTTAGAGCACTGAATGCTTTTTGAAAACAAGCCCCAGTTATCAATTTGAAAATCATTAAATTTGGAAATTAAAAATCTATTAAAAAGAGGAAAATGATGAGATTCTTACAAAGAATCCAAAAATAGAAGATGTTACCTCTTTATGACGTGGTTTTTTTCATGAGGCTGTCAAAAATTATAAGGCATGTTCTCAATTCCATTTGGACTGCTTCCCAGGAACAGTGGCTGTATTGCTTATCTTTTAGGAAATTGGTGATTCTTTGGAAGTACTTTTTCATGCTGAATGTAGTGCTTTTTAGGATCCATGTTTGAAACCTCCTTCCTGCTTTTGATCGCTCTTCTGACAAACACATCTCTAATTCTTCAATTTGCTGATGAATTCCATTCTGGAATTTCTCAATCTTGCTTGTATTCCAAGCACCAACAGGAAGATTTCTGCTGAATAGTTGGAAGATCTGTTGGAGGAACTCGTAGACGATCATTGTGACATTCTTCTCTGTGACCTTGGTAATCTCCATGGGGAATCTGAAATCAGTTGTTTCGCTGAGACATTGCTGAGAAAAATAGCCACCCATTTTGCACAGAAAGTTCATGTTGTGGTAGTTCACTTTGATTCCTTGGAAGAGGCAAACCGGATGTGAGATGTTGAAGTACAATGCCAGTGTAATGCAAACTTGCAGTAAACTTCTCTGAACCAAGCTGGTCATGCTGATGAAGGTAGTCAGGACTATTTTCCTTGCCTTTTTGCAGATCTGTAAGCTTGCAGCTCCTTCGTTGTCTTGTCTGTGCTCACTTTCATGTCTCTGAATTTATTTGCTCTGTGTGACAGGCTGGGTATTACTCATTTTGTAGGAATTGCATTGTTATCAGCTCTGATCCTGCCAAGGTTTACTGTTGATTTCAGTTTTAAACAGTTGCAAACGTTTTCTCATTTCTGCTTCAGTTGTATTTAATTTTAAAAAAAGAGTGAGTTAATCTGGTCCGTCAGAGGACATGGACAGATTAGCAGGTGTAGAATCTGGTAAGGGCATTTAATCTTCTCATATTCTTACTAGAACAGGCAGTCGTCTTTTATGCTGAGAAATTTTGCTGTTATGCTTAAGTTGGCAAAGGCTGTGAAAAAGAATCACATCCCCAGCTAACAGATAGGCAGATATGCACTCTAAGCAAGATGTAATTTTATTGATTTAAAAACAAATGTCTCTTTTGGTAGCACAAATTGTTTTGTTTTGGGGACTGGCTTAAATAATATTGTAAAATAACGCTGTTGTTGACACAAGCATTGACCCACTAGAGGCATATGTTGCTATCACTATGCTGGCAAAAAAAAAGTATATGCAATTCTTAAGACAGATGCCTTTTTCTCCAAAATCTGGGATAGTGCGCTGCTGAGAGAAGCTGTCTTCTACTTTCTCGCTTGATGAATCAGCCTAAATTGTAAGAGATGTAAAGGAAAGCATGTTTTAACAAAAAGAAGAGGAATTCCTTACATTTCAGAGAAAGAAAAGTTCTGTTTTGAAGCCTCCTCCTGTGAGGACAAGCTCTCAAGTAGACTGATTTTACTCGTGTTGGCAGCAAGATGTCCTACCTTCAGGACCACCCCAGCCAGGGTAACGCTGGAGCGTGTCTCCCAGTGTCTGGGCAGTGTACTCTGCCTATCAAGTCTCTGGGTCATCTTGTAATGGGACTGCAGGGAGCCACCAGCATGTTCATTGTAAGCACCCAAACCAGTCTCAGCCTTTTGTGGTGGTAGTTCTGAGACAGTGAAGGACAAGGAAGTCCCTGGTCAGTTCCTGAATATGCACTAGCAAAGTGCCATGTTTCTAGGTGCTGCTGGCTTCCTCCAGTCCAGAACCAGCCCTTTTAAGTGGTTCCTGTAGTCACAGTATAAGAACTCACTGCTGATTGAGAAGGAAGACTGGGTTGAATATTAAGATAAGCAAAAGTTACAAGACATTTAGCAGGCAGATTTGCTTCTCGTAGGAATCTTCAAGGATGGCTAAATCTATATGTGAACTGAAGTGATTTGGTCACTGAAGTGTACAGAGTTGAGGAAGCCAGGGGACATGCCCTTACGTAATTCAGCCTGCATCATTACAGGGACATTTGAAGAAGAGTATGGAAAATGTTGAAGCTCAGTAATGTTGATGTAAGCAGCGAAAGAAATCCTGGATGCTCTTGAGATTAAGAAGTATTTTGTTTAAAAAAAATCCTATTGGTGCTTGGGAGGACCTATTACAATGTGACAGACGGAAAGATTGCTATGGTTAAGCAGATTCTTCAGCAAGCCACAGGATGACTTCAGCAGTTATACAGTAGGACCCTACTAATAATATATTAAAGCTCCTGTGGTTATTCTTCTTGTTTTGCTACTGCTGATGCCAACGCTGTAATGACATTGTGGTATTGTCCTGAATTATCTACACCCAAAGATCTTCAGAAAAGTTAATTTATGAATGAAATTGTGGGGAGGGTGGGTTTGTGCTTCAAAGACTGGACAGAGAATCAAGAAGGCTATGGTAGATTTAATGCATGGATTTGCCACTGATATCATTTGGTGAGACATTGAGTTATTTTCTCTTTCAGTTCTTAGTTTTTTTTTTTTTAAAAGACAGGATTATTACATTTCCCTTGCTTTTTGTTTGCTGTATCTGTATTCCTTACCACATCTCTGTGTGGCATCTAGTGGTAAGGGATCTAAACTTAGTTGGAGGCGTTGCCTTTTTTTATATATTTTTAAATTTTTTTTTATGTCTGTGCACATATCAAAATGATTTCTGCATGTAGTGTTAGGAAGATCAGAATATCTAATTGAAATTTAGTGTAATGACAGGTTAATGAAGCTTGTACTAGGAGGGATAACTATGAGTTCTCCTGAAATTAGATCTGTCTCAAAAGATCCCAAGATACTGTCCCATTCCAGTTATCTCGGGAAGGGGGAGACTCGTTGTTGTACCCAGAGTGAGATTAAGACACAAACTAGGTCAGATGCTGCTAACAAAGGTGTTTATTTTTGAGAGAAAATAGGAAAGAGGGAAAATTTAGCAAGCAGTGGGGATAGAATTGCAAGAGATAGTCACACCGTGGATCCAGCGGTGACCCATTGGTCCGTAGTCTCGTAGTCTTCAGTGGGGAGGGGCCCTGTCACCGTTTGGTCCAAAAGTCTTTTTCACGTATCTGTATTCCTTACCACATCTCTGTGTGGCATCTAGTGGTAAGGGATCTAAACTTAGTTGGAGGCGTTGCCTTTTTTTATATATTTTTAAATTTTTTTTTATGTCTGTGCACATATCAAAATGATTTCTGCATGTAGTGTTAGGAAGATCAGAATATCTAATTGAAATTTAGTGTAATGACAGGTTAATGAAGCTTGTACTAGGAGGGATAACTATGAGTTCTCCTGAAATTAGATCTGTCTCAAAAGATCCCAAGATACTGTCCCATTCCAGTTATCTCGGGAAGGGGGAGACTCGTTGTTGTACCCAGAGTGAGATTAAGACACAAACTAGGTCAGATGCTGCTAACAAAGGTGTTTATTTTTGAGAGAAAATAGGAAAGAGGGAAAATTTAGCAAGCAGTGGGGATAGAATTGCAAGAGATAGTCACACCGTGGATCCAGCGGTGACCCATTGGTCCGTAGTCTCGTAGTCTTCAGTGGGGAGGGTCCCTGTCACCGTTTGGTCCCACAGTCTTTTACAGGGTATAAAGACTCCTGCCTCCTGTGCACGCTTTCAGGCTAGGGATGCTGGATCCTGTGGGGTGCACAGGACCACTGCGTGACCACTTGCATGCTTAGGCAGGCTTGGGGGGTCCTCTCTGTGTGGACCCCCATGAAACGGTGTGATTGTTCTTTGTTCTTGGTCAGAACTGGTTTCCAGAGGGTATTTGCGTCAGTTTAAATCAGGTACCAGCCCTTTCTTGTCTACTAAAGCAAGACAAGACAGAGCTAAGTGTGGCATGGCAAAGTTGGATCTGATCTACTGTTCAACAGTTCTGTTCTGTTTACACACTGGAGAGCAAAGTCGCATCCCCAGTCATCCATTGTTTGCCTCCCATTGTGGTTACATAGGAGATCCATGAGCTGTTTGGATGTTATGAAAAAATACTAAAACTTCAAGGAGAGATTAAGCAATAATTAAAAGTCTTTCAGCTGTTACTGGAGAAACTGAAGAAGCTTTATTTTCTTTAAAAAAAGGCAGATAGGGAAAACTGTTCAGTCGCTTCAAGATGAGCTGATCGTCGGTGGTGAAGGAGAGAATATATTCATAGTGGAAGAACCTTTTGGCCATGGTTAGGGGTCAGAGACCTGTTGGCTTTTTGCTGCTCTTGCAGGGACAAGTGAGGATGACTGCTTCCCAGGGAAGATGAGTTGTCTCTACTCAGTACTGTGTGTAACTCCCTTACTTCGAGGATGTCTGTTTTACCCACATGAGGTTTACCATCTTCTAAAGTGAAACTCTCCCTCTCTGAAAGCACAGAGAGGAAGAGAGGACACATGCTACCTGGTAGTGCAAACCATCCACCTTGAGATTGTGGATCACATTTTCTGGTTGAGGACACGAAAATGACCAGAATGAGCTGACTTAGGTGCCAGCAGTGGTAGTGGGACAAGGGGTCAGAGATCTGTGTGTTTGTGGTGCCCGTCGCTGCAGCGAGTGAGGGTGTGTAACAGAGCGTGTGAGTGCTAAGGAGCACAAGGCTGGGCTGTCCAGTGAGGGGATAGTGGGTCTGAGAACCATGTGAGTGTCTGTCCCTGAGGGTGACACCATAGGAGGGGCTGGCTGTTGGGGACACCAAGGGAGTCCCAGTCATCTGCTTTGGAGCTCTGTGTGTCTGTGCACATACATGTGCAAGGGGGTCCATACCAGCAAGTGGAGTGGGGCTGAAGACTTAGTGGACTGTACGTCCAGGGTCAGGGTGCAGAGACAGCTACAGGGTAGATGATGTGTCTGAGCCCCGCCGCTTTGTATGAGCGTGTATATGTATATATTCCTACTAGCAGATCTCCATCCGGCTCAGCAAGAGAGTGAACCTGTTGGTATTGGAAGTGTGGCCAGCAGGTCAAGAGAGGGGATTGTCCTCCTGTGCTCTGGGGGGACCCCACCTACAGTTCTGCATCTAGCCATGGGACCCCCAGCAGCAGAAGGCTATCAGTCAGTTGGAGCAAGTCCAGAGGAAGCCACAGAGGGGCTTTGAGGGCTTG